ACTGGATATACTCTATTAGAAATCTTTAATGCAAAGTTATAGTAACCTTCTGACTCCCATCTTGCCACAAGATTTATCATCCAAATATTTACCATTTTTATATTTCTTATTAATTGTGTTTCATTAGGATTTGTGTCAGCTTTATCTACATGACATTTTTCACCTTTTTCTTTTGTCGTCCTTGCACACAGATCAATGAAAAGCTGATATTTAAGAAGTTTGTTAAATGTTTAAAGTAACTCATAATATGCTGTTAAAATCATGTATGTAAGTCTGATCCTTTTTCCCTGTACTACAAACCTCACCATTATTTTCTCACTGCAGTTTCTCTTCCCATCTGGCAGTTTTGCAAATATGTTATTGATAGAGTACAGAAAAATCAGTTGCCGTGGTGAGATTTAAACACTGCTTGTGATGTCCCTGAATACTTCCCCAGATGAACGTGCATATAAACATTAAAAATAAACCAATCTTATAAATTTTTAAGATTATAAATTATCTCATTCATTATACACAAAGTATCTACCTTAATTGCCATAATCTAAATGATAAGAATTATCTTTAGAACCATTGAATTAAAAGGTTTATGAAAAGACTCTTTTTAAAATACTTATTACAGTGATCTTTTGTAACTTACACAGTTGTAAAACTCCATAAATCTCAAAATACTCTGCAAGGTATATCTATGTCACTTTACAGTGAGAGAAATTGAAACAAAGAGCAGCTGAAAAAGCAGGAATGATTGAGCAACAATCAACAAGTTATTGACCAGAAAATAAAATTTTAAGATTCAGACCACTGGTGCTGTCTCAGTATTTCTGGGCTCTATTGCCTCTGCTTCTTAAGCTCAATAGAGATGCTCCACTTATTTAGAGGATGAGACCTGTATAGAGATGAAATATTTTAAAAAAACATTATATATATTGAAATGAGTATTTCACAGAGCCCTGTTAGTATATTCAATCATGCTTTAAACCATTAAATCGGCCAGGAGTCATTCTCCTTGCTTCACAGACTGCAGACTTCTGAAAACTGAATTTAATGTTTAGGATGTCATGTGATACGTGCAGGTTAGATAAAAGAATTCACGTTAGGAACAGAACTTTTTTATTCTGAAGGTGTGGAAATTTACTACCTGCATCCATTAGTACGTTCAGTCAATGTAAGTTTTTTGTCTTCCAAACCTGAGCTGGGTTACACAATCTGGTAAAGTCCCTCATATGTAGCTAAATCAGTAATTTCCAAAGTTTACTTGTTTGGATATTGTACAGAGTAACAGCAGTTGCTGGACTAACAGCTCCCAAATATATGCAGGACTGTGTACTTCAGAAGGAAGGTGTTTAAACCTTATGACAACCATACAATTGAAATACAGAATATGTACAGGAGCTTCAGAATACTCCATCATTAATCAGTGTTAGGGTTTAAATTAAAAGCACTTGCATTGTATGTGCTTGGTATTTATTGGGATTGCTATGCTATGTATACATCATTATGACAGATGGGATTATAAAATACTTAGATAATTGCAGAAATCTTAATTAGAAGTTTGTCTATTCAGGCTAAGATATGCAATAAAGACATCACCAAATTACATTTTTCAGAATATTTTATCTTGCATTACCTGTAAAACAGTAGATTTGCAAAGGTCTTTTAAGGATTATTTCTGAGCTGTGTTCTTACACAAAAGAGAATTAAGTAAACCATCAACAGTGGAACAAACCAATGGAAGATTCCTGTAGATAATAATTTGTGACTTGGAAAGACTATAGATTGTTTAAATTCCCTTCAATTCTTTTAAAAAACCCACAACCCAAGCAACCAAAAAAAAAAACCTAACAAAAATAAGCAACCCAAACCAGGCAATGGCAACTAGCAAATTAAAATTAATGTTCATGCAGCAAAAACCAGGGAAGGCTATCCCTATGGTTTAGTCGCATAGTTGACTATGGACAGAGAATCTCTGAAGTGAACCACTGGTTCACAATCCTCCTTTTCAATCTCTGCAGATGGGTGATAAACTTTTGCTCATATCAGCTCTTATTCCTGAAGTTGTAATGATTTTTTAATGTTATTGCAGTAGTACAATGACTGCAAAACCTTATGTTTTTGAAAATCATAATGCTTACATGAAAACCAGAGAGCAGGTGTCCTGGTTTTTGTCTGCCCAATTTCTCAGGCACTACAGAACCTATGGGACAAGAAGAAGAGACCTTTTTGTTCAAAACCGGTTCTTATCAATATGGTAATCAGAAGTATCTTTCAGACTCTCGAAAAGTATTTCTTCACTTCAAGGCTTAAACAACGTTAAAGAAAGCATACAGACAAAGCAGTGTTGGAAAGGAAGTAACATGCCCTTATTTTTAGCACTTGCCCACTTGTCACTTAAACTCTCATCTGCCTTTCAAATGTAGTGTAATCTAATTTTTATGCATACTGTATGCTCATACAGACAATTTCCTTATTTCAGAGTATGTTGAGTTTGGTAATGGTTTTTGTACTTTTTCTTAACCTGTTTCAGAAATAGCACTGCCACCATTTGTCTCAGTAATATACAGGACGATGGAAATTGACATTTTTCTATATAGAAGTGAAAAGAATATTAGTTTTATCAAAGACTAGATCCCTTCTTCCCCTCCAGTTATATTTGAATTTGGTGACTTCAGGGTTTACTGTGTAGGATGATTTTAAGCAATGGTCCCTGTGGTTGCTGCCTCTATTACCTAATAATTGACCATGACAGAAATTATATGTCCGAAGCCAAGGGGCAGAGTGAATAGCATATGTCAGGGTCAATTATAAGGTGGAAGACCCTGCAACAATAAAGACTGCACTGATTAGAGCATGATATTGACATGGGAGCCGAAGCTTCAATGTTATTTCAAAGGGCACTGTCACAACCACCCTTCCTTGAGGACTCAAAATCAGAGCCAGATTATGTCAGTGGTTTATACTACAAATGATGTCATAAAGTTCAATGGGACATTGAAAGTTACAACTGATTTGTTGCTTTTCTTTTCAGCAATAAAATGCTTTCTCGGAATCACTCATAATTAAGCTCGCTACTTTGCTAATTAGGTCAAAACAGCTTCATACTTACTAGATTCTTTCTTGAAAAATCCAGCTCTCTCAGATGAAGGGTATTAAACGTGACACAGTTAAAAACTGGCTTGATTGTTAAAGTTATTAATGTTATTTCTACTGGCAAAACTGAACAGAATAGGAACCATGGAATGGAAAGAAAATAATCCTTTTTATTACTTTTATTACTTAAAGCTCTGTTATAAATATTTTATGGTATGGGAAGATTTTTGTAGTGAAACAAATGGGCCAAAAAACTCGCTGTTTGCTTATTCCCCTGAAACTTCACCAGTTTTAACCTACTCAAATGTTCTTAATCAATGATGAACCACAGAACCATTTAGTAAGTGAGGAATGATCTCAAATTATACACCACTACAATAAGAGACTATAGTTCCGGTTTAGATTTTCATTCCAACAGTTCAATTTTCTGACTCTTTTCACTGAAGGCTGCTTCTCTAAATTTCTGAGACTCTGTAAAAATGTCCCAGCCATTTCTGCATACAAGATCCCAGTGGTTTAGCTCATGATGACGAAGAGGATACTGTAGCTTAACCTCATTAACTAGATAGCTAATTTCTCTTTGTTATCATGGGTTATTATCCATGACCACATTTTTCCTGGGTGTTTTGCAGACATCATATAGATGGCTAACTCCCAATAAATTAAAGTCTATAGTTTTAGATTCAAATTTGTTGAATGATGAACATATTACAAGGATTATTGAGCCTAAAAGATCTCTTTCTTCCTCCCTAGAATGGTTAATTAGGAGATCATAGTCTTTAACATACAGTTAATATAACTTCACGGGAAACGTCATATTAGATAAGAGGGAGGTGGTTTTGAATCTTGTACATGTACTTCTTTACAACAAACATCTCTGATCTACATTTGTTTCAATGTAACATTAGAATAGCTCTCACATTTGTTTTGTATTTAAAACTTACACAAATTAAAAAAACTGAAATGTTTATTTCTAAAAATATCCATTTTTTAAGTGAGAAAAAGACAGGAAAATATAGAAGTGCTTTAAACCTGTAAATACAATATCTCCATTTAACTTTTTAATTGCAATCAAAATAGACACATGTAGAACAAAACCTCCTTTGGTACTACAGGCTTTCTGGTGATCTGGAGACTTTTCTTTTTCCCCTTGGAAGTACTTACAGACTTCAGATAGAGAAAAATACATTTAAATCCCATGGATTAAGCTGAACAGAAAAAATGTAAATGAATGATTTTGCCAGTTACACTTGACAGTTTCTCTTGGTGGTAATTAAAATTAGTGCTTTTATTAATATAGTAAAAATTTCAAACACTGAAAACTCATTTAGTCAAGTGAAAAACTGTTCAGCTGCCAGTGAATATGAATTTTAGCTTGCACTAGTGTCTGATGGAAATGGAAACACTGGTCATTTTGACAGAGGCATGATGGTATAAGGCTAATTTTATACTTTTGACTCTCTGAAGATTAGTAGATTGGTTAGCGAAAATTAAGTTCAACAAAAGCTTAGAAAAACTCTCATCATATAAGGACAATTACAGTCAAGAACCTATATAAAGCTACCTTAGGCTAAATTCTATTTCTGTCATAGTAGTTCATAAATACAGGTCTGAGAGTCTTCAAAAATTCTACATAAAGGACGAAGTAAAGTTGTGCAATTTCGTAGTTCCTCAAAAACAAGTCAAATCACCTATGAAAATGACAAGTCTTGTCTTACCAGCACTAAGAACTATGGGAATAGGTGCATATATATTTAGTAGTGTTTATACAGAGCACTTAGGAGCAAGGAGCCCACAGGCCCAGTATGTCATTCCTCACTTACAGCACTGATCACCAGGGTGATCACCAGTGTGAATGGTTGGAGGTCAACCAGAAGTATACCTATTTGTGTCTAAAAAGAGATGATCAGTGTGACAACGTGCTCAAGCTAATCTTAACAGGCTGTTTTATCCTGGGCCTGATGCACTGTTAGCATGGTTATGCAGCATTCGAGCAACGCTCCTTACATCTGTCGAGCTGTAGAAATGTTGACAGAAGGACCTTGAGTCCTTCTACCTCTGAATGGGGAGATACGCTGCCTGAGAAATTTCATTCAGATTCTGGTAGTATGTCAGTACATCTCAAGCTGCCAAACCAGAGTATTTTTCCCAAAATTTAATTCAAGTTTATCTTGTGGAAGAATTCATAATACCGTGTTTACTGTGAAGAAAGTGAAAATTCAGGAAAGTTGTCAATGACAGGCAGCTAAAGGAACTCTGCAGCCAGTTTCTTAGTGAAAAAGTCCAATATATTCTCTTGTAAAATCTCAAATAATTTTTTTCTGTATTACATAAACAGCTTTGGGTATTAAGAGTAGCAAAAATTCTGCCACCTGTTAGATGAGGAAAACACCTCTGACTGCAGGAGAGTCAGAGCAGGACACTCTAATGAGAGGCAATAGTGGCACACTGCCAGCTACACCCGTGAAAACCCTGACATTCCCATTTTGGACATGGCATGGTGAGCAAAGGAGGAGATGATTTTCAAAGCCTTTTTTTTCAAAATGGAAATATTCTTCTAATATTACACCTGCTTTATATATGCAGTATTCTATTACTTACTGGTGATTATATTAGGAAATCTTTTAATTAAGAACTTCATTAGTTCACCTTTAAGTGCCAATCACCAGATAATTGGCCTTTTTCTAAGAGGCACTGCAGCTCAGGTATGCTAAAATGACTGTTTCTCAGAATAACTTACTGAAAGTAAGTTATTTTTGGAACTCATTTATAAGAGGACTTAATTAACTATTCCAGATCATTAGGGATACTGCATTGCGTTTTTTAATCCTCTGACAGGTTCCTCCAGTTATATTAATTCATTATCATTATTTTCAACTCTCTAGGCAGAAAAGGGTGAAAAAGAAACACTGAGCCATTGCTGGCATTCTGTACAAACTAGCCAGTACTTCTCCGAGATGAAAGGCAGCTTTGGTGGATTTTATTGTTTCAGCTGCTGCGGCAGTAGAACAGAATGTCTTGGGGCAAGCAGCTTGAGAGATGATGCACTGCCTTTTGTCCACTGTCGTATGGCAGAACTTTTCAAGAGCAGTGACACTACAACAGAGTTATTCCATCAGGTGAATGAGAGTAAACAGGTTTTCTCACAGAATATATTCCACATAATCTGAAAACAGCATCTTTTTGGGGAAAATCTGTTTTGAAACACCACTTTATTATTCAATTTTGATATATTTCGCAAATTCTGGGAGCCAAATCTCACTTTTTTATTTGTGCAAATAACTACTGATGTCTTCATCAAATGGAAGCAAAAATTCCAATCTCACTAGCACACAAAGCAGACTTTGGTCCTAGAGTGACATATGTAACTTCTACTTCAAACAAGTCTGACTTGTAAGTGGAAATTTGATTTTTTTGGAAGCTGTAAAACTGAATGCAATAGAACCATCTGCTGAAAAAACAGCAACATTGTATCAGAATAGATTAGTAATAACAGACCTTTGCAAAAAAGTGGGACTTCAGAATTACTCTTTTCCAGATCTTCTAACAATACTACTTAGATCTTTACAAGTCTTTGAGTATTTGTTCTAAAGGTGTCTGATTAAAGTTACAGATTATATGGCCTCTCCATTTTATAAAGCATCAGAATAACTTATGTACATGATTTTTAGGCTTTCCATGTATCATTGCTAAATATTGTAAATTAGTATCTTTTAAGTATTCACAACTACTAGCCAAATTATTCTTTCTTGTGATAATAATAAACATATTTAATTCAAACACAGAAAACATAGAGGTGATATATGACAAAATTACCTTCTTTTTTCTTTCTTTTTTGGTCAATAAATCAAATACCTTTGGTCTGCCTTTTTTTACAGTTCCTCAGAGGTGTGGTTATTTTCTACTAGTTCATATACTATGCAGTATTGCTTCATTCAGTTTGGTAATCTCTGCTAAAATCTCCCTTTTAATTCAGAACACGTCTCCATTACCTCTCTGAGCCAAAAAGAGAACCCCAATCCCTACCAAAATCCCTGCCCTTTCATCAGAATTTCACATCTAAGTTACCCTTTTAGATCACCTAAATGTCTTGAAGAGCAAAAAAACTTTCAATGAATTACACATTATGTCATCATCAATAAACTAGCAGGAAATTCAACTGTCCTGTAAGTAATTCCAAGGAAAGTCAAATATTCTGTCTCATAACTGTTAGCCTGTGACGGTCAAAGCATGAACCAAGGATTTATTTGCTTTTAAACATGTGTTTTTTGCAATTATTCCAATGCAGAAAAAGCCACGTTGTGTTTATTACCTCTTTCAAACTACTTATCAAATAAGTTTTATATTGATTGTCACTTCTTAACTTTTCAAAGTGTATTTAGGAAGGCATCATCACCTTCATATCTGCCCATAATTATCCACTCCTATTTTAGTGTTTTACTGTACAAATCATGTGCTGACTAAAATCATCTTAAAAAAAAAGTGGTCTTTCAAGCTGTTTCATGAGCTGTGCATAAAAAACCTTATATATTTGTCTCTCTAGGCATTTATTTTGGTACATTTATCGCTATAACAAAATGTTTTTTCCTAGAATATTTTCTTCCACATTTTCTCTTGCTGGGACATTCATAAACAATTTGTGTGCAAGGAACTTGAGTAAACCCTGAGTGGTACAGATTGTTATACAGCATTGTATAGTTTCATGTTACAAGGAACTGATAAGTTAGCACTCACAGTGCATAAAGCATTTGTCTCAGGCTTGAGAAACAAAGCCTTTTGTGATCTGCAGTGGTTGCTGCAACTGAACTCAAAAGGAACCATAAATCGGCGTTCCTGGTCATTGCCAGTTTTCACGCTGGTACCCAGGCTCACCCTGAGGCACTGCACTTGTACCCGCTGACCCTGCACACCAGGCTCCACCGAGGGCGAGCAACCAACAGCACGCCAGTGACTTCTTGCCCCCACTTTAGTCTCATGGGCCCTTAGAATCAAAGACCGGACAGTGGTGGGACCTCAGACTACTTCTCAAAACACTGCCACAATACACCAGCAATGGCTTTATCTGGTGGTATAGGATTCCTGAAGTTAGCTTAGTGGTACAGTTTCATGGGCAGAACTAACTCACGGGTTTCTTCTGTGACATGGGAGAAATAGACTTGTGTCTGGAGTCAAGAGATTGGGCACCTGGGTACGCTTTTAATTGACTCAGCCTACAAACCTGCAGTGCTGCCTGTTGTATGCCTCACGGCGGGATTGCTCAAAACATTGGCCCAAAACAGGGATCAGATGACAAGCTCAGATCTTCGATATGCAGAAGCTGAACGCAAGGGTGCGGGTGGACATTCTGTGCTCGCCGGCGAGCAGAGAACCCTTAGGGAGGCAGCCAGCTCTGCTCTGCTGTCCCTCCCTGCTCGCAGCGGCGAATACAACCGGTCCGCGGAGACTTCTGAAGCCCCGCGGCAACTCCAGCCCTCGGAGCGGGCCCTGCCGGCCTCCCAGCCCCGGGGCCCGGTGCAGTGGAGCTGCGACTGCGCCCCGCAGCGTCCCCAGCGGCCACCCCAGGGGGAGGGGGCGGCCTCCCGCGGTCGGCCCTCTTCCCTACACAACACTCGCTTGCAGCAGGTCCGTGGCTCTTCGCTGAAGGGCAGAAGGCAACAGGCGGGCACGGAGGAGGTGGCAGGAGCGCCGGGCGATGCTCTCACACGGCCGGCCTGGGCCTGCCGGCGCGGCCGCCCTGCCCGCCATAGGTGCCCCGCGCTCTGCCTCCGCGGCCGCGCCCTCCTCCCGCCCGCCGCCGGGCCGCGCCTGGGCTCCGCCGTCCCGGCCGTGGCGCAGCCTTGTGGCGGCGGCAACACGTTCCTCCGGGCGTGGGGAACCGGCGGCTCGCCGAGCCTTCCGCCTGCGCAGGCAGTCTGCCGGCCTGCCCGGGAGGAGGGCCCGCCTAGGGAGGCGGCCAAGCGGTAGCATCGGAGGAGCCGGCGGCGTCCGCGGCCCAGGGTAGCTACGGCGACTGGGCTCCTTCCCTGCTGCGCTTCTCGGCTGTCGCGCACCTCCCTGTCAGTGTTACCGCCCCCGGCCTGTGACCAAGATGAGAGTAGTGGCTTTGATCAGGTAACGCGCTGAGGGAGCGCCCATGTGAGCGAGCGGGGCACCCTCGCAGGCGGAGGGAGGGCGCGGGGCGAAGCCGTGCCCGCCCGGGGGTCGCGCTCCACCCAGCGCCGTCTTGGAAACCCTCCCGTCCGGCCCCTCCCGCCCAGGCGTTTCCTGCCGCCCCCCTTCCCCTGCCCTGGCGACTGTGTCTGGGCCGGCTGCCGGCTCTGCCCGCAGGGTGAGGATCTCACAGTTTCTCTTCTGGTCTCCCCGTGTTCCCCGAGACGCTTCAGAACCTGGTGTCTGTTAGAAAAAAAGAAACAAACAAACAAAAAACAAACCAAAAACCAAAAACCCCAGACCCCCACAACCAACCAAACAAAACCCCCCCAAACACCACCCACAATTATTTTCTTCGATCGCCTGCTCGCCGCTCTCCCAGTGTCCCGGGTTATCCCGCCTGCAGCGCGGCGGAGCCGGAGCCGCGGGCAGCGCTGTGCGGGTCGGAGGCGGCGTCCCTGGTGGCGCAGGGCTCGGCCGCCTGTCCTGCGCTTATAGAGGGGGTTCTGCTCATTTGCAGTTCATTATCTTAACGCTAGATTTTTCGGGTAGTTCTTTTGAGAGAGATTTAATTTTGTAAGAGATGAAGCTCAGTCGTTTAAATAGTTGGAACTGGACACAGCCCTATCTGTCGGGCTGCTGTGTTTGCCGCCCCAGCCGTCCCCTCGCCCCGGCTGCTTTTAGTCAGTTTCTGCAGTTCTTGCACTGTAAATATTTATTTTTAGAAACATTAATATATTGTATCAAGGACAGGCATGTTCTTTTCTTGAAGAAATAATACTTAGTTTAAAAAGAACAAGCTAGAAAAACTAAATGGAAAAGAATTGTGCAGATGTGAGCAGTGTATTTTTGGGTGCAGTAGCTGTTTACTTAAGCCTTTAAGGTATTAAATTCTTTCAGGCATTGTCTAAAATCAAACCTTGTTGACATTGGGGCTTGGCCACAACAATTACAAGTAATTCCAAACATCATCCAAAGAGGAGAAAATACAGGAAATGTTATCTATGTTTTGCAAGATTTGCTTAAATATAGAGTAGGAAAAAATCAACTTTGGTGATTTTTCTTGTTTTATAGATAAGATTTTGTCTTCCAGGTTTACTTTCATTGATTTTCTCTAAGCAGAGGAATGTGTTAAAAGGCAGGATGGAATAAAATCCTAAAAACAGGTTTTTAACACAATTGCTATTTTAATGGGCTGTTTTACAAGGATGGATTTAGTTTCAGTAATAGTTTTAAGAAGAGTTTTAAAGAAACATCAAAGTGTCTGAAATTTTTGTAACAGAGCTAGCCTCAAAGATTAGAGGGCAACAAAAGTATTTGAAAAGTGCTTCTTGCTTTTGAGGTCAGGATTATGTATAAAACTGCTTTATTTTAACCTGTTTCTATTCCTTCTAAAATGCTGGCCACACTTAAAGTTGATAGTCTTGCTTTAAGATGGTATTTATGGGGTAAACCCTGTATTGTGTTTTGTGCTAAATCATAGGCATTTTAAAGTCAGTCTTCAACCTGAAATACGATGTTTTTCGACTCTTTAATTCTTCTAGAATTTTTTTAACTGTAAATGCTTACACTTGCCTTTAGAAAGGAATTTTGCTCAGAAGTCTTTTACAGGCTCGTATCTTTGTGGTTACTATGTTTTTTTTTAACCTGGTATTTTGTTTGTCTATAAGCCCGCCTGTTAACATGCTCGCAACAGTGTCCAAAAGAACCCTGACTTCGGCCCCACTTTGGAGTTTTCTGCAAAAAGGCCTTGTGATTTTTTTCTATGATGAGAATTGAGAGGAGTTCCTGGCCTACCTCAGTATCTGCCTTCATCAGTCTTATGTGGACTGTGCTGAGTCCACCTTTTTCCCACAGCATGGGCTGTCTTGGCTTCACTGATCTTAACCATAATGTGTTTTACAGCTAGTTTGGAAGGCCTTGTAGGTAGGCATGATTTTGTTTTGTTTCTTGGTAATGTTAGTTTTTAGGGATAAGCAATACAGAAATTAAATAACTGTATAGTAGCATGTGATCCAGTGAGCAAAAATTTCCACCAAGTATTTGGTGGTCTAGTGGGGGAAATACAAATGCAATTTCATCTTAAATGTCTGTTTATATATATATATATATATATATATATATATATATAAATTAATTGGAAAGATTAACAGATTTATTCCAGTGACATTTTAATTTTTTAAATATTGAAATGCTGCAAACAGCATAGGCAATTATCTACTGTCATATAATTCTTTTTTCTGAAGTGGTGTTTGTCATTGAAATCAGAACTAGCGGGAGACTTATTTTTTAGCATATAGTCATTCAGCAAGAAAAGAGCCTTTGTCTCATTATGATTCTGCTAAGCCTGAAATTTCATATTATGAAGTGAATACTATCCATGTTTTCAAGCTATCAAGCACAGTATTCAGAATTAATGAATGTATGATTTTTTAAATTTTTTTTTTCCATATATAGGTTAGAAGAAAGTTGTAGATATGCATGAGAAGAATGTTAAGCAAGAGATGGAGCCTCAAATTAGGAATCTATTTATCATATTTATATTTACTTTTGTAGCACTGAAATAGAGGCAACTACTTTATGAAAATCCATTAGGTATGAAAAGATGCCCTGTTATTTATATTATTTCTACTTTGGATTTACAGAGCAAATGAAGTACAGCATACAGAATTTTAGCGTGGATAGAAGCAGGAATTGAGGGGAACAGCTTTATGGTTGTATTCCTGGAAGGCACTTTCAAGCTCTTGCATAGAGGGCTAGATAAAGAGGGGAACTTTACGCTGAAAATTATGAAGAAGTTTGTTGCAGAGTCACAGAATTATTTAGGTTGGAAAAGACCTCCAGGAGGTCCAACGTTTGACCAATCACCACCTTGTCAATCAGACCATAGCACTAAGTGCCACATCCAGTCATTTCTTTAACACCTCCAGGGTGCTGACAGCCCTTTCCGTGAAGAAATTCTTCCTGATGTCCAACCTGAATCTGCCCTGGTGCAGCTCGAGGCCATTTCTTCTTGTCCTGTCTCTAGTTGCCTGAGAGAAGAGGCTAACCCCTACCTTGCTACAACCTCCTTTCAGGTAGAAATAGTAATAGTGTGGTCACAAGGAAACCAACAGTCTACTGTAGGAAGAACTGCTTGTACTATCTGTTCTTCTGTGCATATCTTGGTGATTCTAAGAAAAGATGCAGTTTTACAGAGCTTGTGTAGATCTCTGCTCCCGTTCCTGCCCTGGTTTTTGTGCCACGGCATTTAAAGAAGCTGCACAGAATCTCCACCTGCAGTTGTAGTTTGAAGGCCGTGAGTCTAAACCTGGATCTTTTAAGCAGTGTGTATTCTAGAGTACTCTTAGTTTGATCGATTGTAATAGTTCTTTTGCTAGTGATTAGAATCCATGAGAAGGACTTTTTCAATTACTTCAGAAGAGCAGGATTCTTTCCTCACTGATAGGGGAAAAGGTTCCAGTAGATCTTGAATGAATGTCAAAATTAATTGTATTCTCTGTGTTGGAATATCATGTGTTGACCTCAGAGAAGAATATAGTTATGTTTGGGTATATATTTTTTTCTTACTAGCAGTAATTTTTATTTGCAGTTAAATGAGGTAAAAAATGTGTATGTTCAATGCAGTGTCAACTGAAACTGCTGCCTGTAATAATTAAAGTTTTAGAGAATGAGAAGGACATTTAAAATGTTGAAAGTTTAGGTTAAGTATCCCACAAAGGTGAAATGTTATTTTTAACACAGGATCAGCAAGGTTTAGAAAAGATCTCTAAGATCATGGAGTCCAAGCATTAGTGTATCACTACCAGGTCCACCACTAAACTAAACCAGGTCCCTAGGCACCATATCTACATGACAGACCTAATTTAAGAAGATTGCTAATGCTGACAACTCTGGAACAGATTTTGGTTTTCTGATCCAAGTTATCTGGTAATGAGTACAAAGTAATTTGTCTCTGGAGTAGAAGACAGTCTTTGTTTGAAGGAATTCCAGTGTCAGTGGCTGTTCTTCATGGAACCTCTCAGATTAATAAGATACAGAAATGGTTATGTGCTTTATGGATACTGTATTTAGGCACTATACATATATAGTAATTTTATGGTGAAATCATTCTTTTCCTACCACTAATACTTTACAACTCT